ATCACTACAAATGATTTCAATCATGATTCCGTCATCACAACACCAAACAACACTGATCAGTCACAACAACATTTTTTTGGATAAATTCTAAATGCGGAAGTATAGGGTCAGTAAATCCAGACAAAATTCAAAATCAAGATGACATGAACATTGACGCATACCAACCACATACACCATACATTTCACATGCACTGATCATGAAAATCACTGAATTAATTCTTTATTTTCAACATAGCCATCATGAATCAACACAGGCTATCCATGAAAGAGTGTCAAATGTGACATGAGTGAATCCTTCCATCACACAATGAATCACAACACTCCACAACATCAATAATAACACAATGGAACAATATCAACACATGGATGATTGCAACTATTCAAGAAAACAACCATGTCTCACATTGTAATGCACTTCATGACAAAATCTTCTCAGGTGCTCAACAACAATACATTCTAGACATGAACAAATACAACAATTAATGTCAATGTGTTGTACACCATCTCAGCAACCATAAAAAACTATCTACATCACTCTCCTGACAACTCTTCAAAAATTAATTAATAATCATTTTCTTCACTTCTCAGGTGTCTCATAACAAAATCAACTATTATAGATAAGTTCCACAAATTTCAAAATAACAGTATCCTAGTGTGCACAATCATAAAAAATCACTGTGATATTCTTGAAATTATTCATTATTGTAATATCACGTGAAAAAGAAAAATGAATTGAAAGAGTGAGACACCACTTCCACAAGTTGATGAGTCAGCGAGCGAAACCAACATGAATGTGTCTCATTCATCATGACGAACATGTTGATATGTATTGTTCATGACACGCTCACTCTCTGAAGGACATGGTATCACATCACCACAACCTTCATCATGATACTCCGCCATTAATGATCATATCCATCATCAACAGTCATAGAAATACTCTTCACAACGTATTATACAACATTGCAATCTTCGGTTTATCAAAAAACTGAATCACTGAATTGTTATAAAATGATCATTCAATCATACAACAATACATACCAACAACAATTCATCATGATCACATTCAACCACTCACAATCACATGAAACACTTCTACAATGATGATCATAACGTGTCATGATGATAGAATGAATGACATCAACAAGAGAGGAGAACTGTACCCTGCCTCAAGAAATGATGTTTTCAGAGAAAAGCGAAGTGCTCCCATTCAATGAAAAAATCATGTCAATGAATAAAACTGATGATTTGTTGTTTGAATGATCAGAACATCCATCCATATCATTTTCATGTAGTTCTGTGAAGTACTTGTCTCGATCGTACTTTTCAGCACTACCATAGAGCCACCATCACACTTCACATCACACCAAATCATGAAATGACCATCACTTTGAACTGAATCAACGATCAATTCTATGGTTTCTGATCACTGTAACAACATTCCGATCATCAGATTCATTCCATGATCATCATATCCAACGGAAGCAGTTCACTACAATTCTAACCGCTACTATTTGATGATTATCATTTCCATGTGTATTCATACACACAAAATATTCCTGATGAATGTTGACCATGATGTGCACATTTGATGTGATCAATATGAATATGACATGATGATGAACGGAAACATGACCCGATGTTGATGATGATCCTGTCAAAAATGCAGGGAGTTTTGGCTTCATTTTTTTTTAATTTTTTTTTGAAAAATTTTCATGTCATTTTTGAACTCGATGAAACTCCTTCAAACTTGATTTTCTCGAAAACTGCCCTAAACCTGATCGAATGCTCTATCATGACCCCCATTATTTTCATGAGATCTACAAAAATGGTGTCGCTTAAATTCTATCAAAAATTTAACACCTGTCACCATTTGTTGAACTACTCAACCAACTTAGCTCACTATCCAATGATGTCGCTAGCACGAATGTACTACTCTTCAAAATCTATCGAATGAAATGCTTGGATCAAGCTCAACATCAAAGATGACGAAAAACCCGACCATGCAAGAGAGGTCTACTTTAAGCGAGTACAGTTCAATAATTACCCATAATTAATGGATGAAAGTCATATCAACACATAGATATACCTCCATCCCCGACGATTTCATAAAAATTAAAAATCCAATGATTAAGCATGTCGAAAAATTAAGATTCAAAGTCAAGCTGGGCACCTATCCAAACCCAAAACCCTTCAATGTTTAATGATACATTCATCAATATGTCATGAGATTCTAACTCTGATAGATGTACTTTATCACTGAGTGTTTATTCTTTTGTCATCAGTATTGAGTTGGTGGAGCGCTCACATCTGTTGTATGATTCATTGCAAGAAGTGACCTTGTTGTATTGCATTTGTTTGCTGTGATTCATTGTTGGGTTTGCAACACTAGCAGGGGCAATATTTTGAACCAATCTCAATATGATCACTACATGCCTTTTCATTGAATGAAACCAAACACCAAAAAACAAGAACACACCTCCCTCTCTCAATTAAATCAATTCAATAATGTTCATCTCATGTGGTAAACATTTTACGATGATAATGTAGAACAATAGCAACTCACCACTCACAACTACCAATAAAAACTCAATTTCAATAGACACATTCGCATAAAGATTCCATAACCATGTTTCGGGATAGGACTCAACAACGATAATTCAATGTTTCATCCTGAATGAAAACAGCATCATTGAATTATGATTGATTTGAGAGTGGTTCACAGCAACAATACTTTGGAGATCAACCATGGAAGCTGTACAAGGCCAACATATCACGAAACGACTCTTCAATCAACGTTAACGGTATCCAATTTCGAGGAAATACCGACTTTTGCTCGTCCATATTTGAATTACGACCAACTTCAAGAGTTACATATCACCAACTTGGACGCACAAAATATTTAACTATTTTCACATTCAACTCGAACGAAACAGCAGCGCCTTACTTCCTTATATCTTAATTGATGGAAATATTCAAGTTTTGATCATTCAACGATAATTTTTGAGGATGGTCAACCACCACAGGACCTGATTTTTTAGTACAAAAATAGGGGTTATCTCGATATCCACTATAACAACAAGAAATCTTTCGCTTAATACCTCCTTCCTCTCTGCGTGGGACTAATTGATATTAAAAACAAATTATATATTGTTATATTGAATCTTTTTAAAAATCCTACTGAGAGGAATCCACTCATCACATTGTGAGCACTTTGTGTGTGTTGGATACTTATTGCAATGATGGCAATGATGGCCATGACGATCATGCACTCTTTGAATCATATGAACATCATATAGTTTTTTCCTTCATCATCAAGATCAGCACCTGCTTTTTGGGCAAATCCGACAGCCACTCTCATCAGGAATGATTTGTAATCAATATCAGTGTTTTTGGCTTTCTTATAGAAAATCCATGAATTTGCGAGTACAATTCGGAAAATTCCCATCCATGCTGCTTGAGTCCACTTGTTGACCCGATGGCAATTGGGATACATATGTGCATATCTATCAGCCACATCTACGTTCACATGCTTCTTCTCATAGAGCTCTTTTACTTTAGGAGCTCCTTTCTTCTTGTTCTTGCTTTTCTTCAAAGTAACCATGTTGGAAAGAAAAGTAATTTGTTTTTTGTCTTTGTAATGAATTGCGACATAATCTCCATTAGTGACACCAATCCATTCACCTTTTGATAATGTATACCTTGAGAGTAAGTTTTTGCATTCTTCTTCTAATCTGTTTTTGGGACAAATCATCGTAAACCGGAATTTGTGGTAATTCAATAGTAGGGCCGTCTTGTGGTGGCCAAAGTAGGAATCAGTGCAAATATTGTACTCATGAGAAGGTAAGAAGGAAACAAAATCCATCACTAAGATATGAACTTGTGGTTGATGACCTGTGTAAGGCCACAACCTTATCACGAACCACAAGTCGTCGGCCATCATATAAAACTTAATACCAGTGTCTTCAGGTTTTCCTTTGATGTGTTGTTTAAATTTAAATCTGCCCGTGAATTGTATCAATGTTTCATCAACTGTGACGTTCGGGAAGGGTTTCCAAATTATCAAAGAAATTTGATTGAACACTCTGGTAAAATAGTGGGGGTTGACTGAAAAGCCCTGAACAGACCCAGTCAACATCTTCCATGATGACGAACGGTGGTAAAAAATCTTGCGAATTGGAAAATTTCGAAAAGACATTAAGAGATCACGGTTTCATATTCCCAATGATCCAAATTTCCCCATGCCCTCCCCCGTCCCTCCACCTATGTCCGTGTTAAGTTATTACAATAATAGACAGAATCTGAACAATGAGAATTCTTCAACATTTCCAAATAGTCTTGCTCAATTTCAACCTCCACAGAACAATCTTGCAGAACCTGTTCTTGGAATGAACTTTCCACGGCCATTAAATGCTGTTGCACCACCTGATTCGTCCTCAACAACATCACATAGTACAACCTTCCCTGTATCTCCTTCGAGTGACGATGAAGAGGCTCAGTATCTTGCACAATCAATTTATTGGTCATCAACAGAAGGACACGATTCTAGTCCTCCAGAGGACATTTACTGTACGTCAGGGAGCTATTTGAATTCAAGACATAAAACTCCTATTCATGAGGATCAATCCCTTTTGACACCAGCTTTTGATATTACTAGTAGATACATACATGGAAGAGATGAATTGAAGAACGTGGTCCAATTACAGTTATACTCTGAGGAGGAGCAACAAGAGCCATCGACAAAGAATATTAATATTTCAGATTCTGTGTGCTCTTCTTTCATTGGAGAAAATACTACACTGAAATGCGTGTTATTATTCACAACGGCGAATCGTGAAATTCCATCCAAGTTATTTTCTGGTTTGAAAACATTGCGAAAATTAGTCGTTTGGAGTTGCAATGCGGCCATGAGATTGTGGAATTCTTCTTTGAAGGAAATAGTAATGATCAATACCGGAATATACGGTCAAAAATACCAATTGACGGGCCTAGAGAAGTTCACAAAATATAAGGTGACAACAGATAGAGATGAATTTCCAATATCGAGATCTGAGAACATGGAAGATGCTGCTTCTATTAAGCAAAAAAAAATTGAAACCAAAAATGCTGGCCATCTTATTGAGTATTTTCAAACACAACTCGAATCAAGAGTTGCGATGAAATTATTGGAAAAAATTAGCCAATTGACACGTAATGAAAGCGGGAATGTTACCTTACTGCTACAAAAAGCTGCAGCTCAAAAAGGAGTCAAAGCTGCAATGGACTTTATGGCCTATTTGATCAAAAAGTTACAATTTCCTTGTGAACAGTTGGACTTGTTCCTCCAGTTAAATTCTTCTACTCATGCTCTGCAATGTATCGCACAATTTGCAGTGTATTTATGCAATGAATATCAAGGTGGAAGACTCTTAACAATTCCCAATGTTCAAAAACCAGAATCTATTCTGCTGCTTTTATTGAGCTATGGTTGGAATTGTTGGGCTCAACACGATGCGTTTATTTACGTTATGGTTTCATTTCTTTCAGAACAGAGGCAACAACAATTTTTGGAACATGCATTGAAAACATATTATGACACGATGAATGTCGATGGATTTATTCACTCATTTTACATTGCCATGCACAAAACACAACATCCATCATTACTACCATTTTGTCCTATTTACTCTTACATCGAGAAGAAGTATTGACGAATGTTTTATGTAGGCGTGTGAAATGTGAAATCAAATACCATTCTTATTCTCAGCTTGTTGCGAAGAAAGAATCATCCCTATCGACCATTCCTCTTCTTGCTCTTGTATTCCATCATGGAAGAGCATATGGTGGATTTTTATTGCAAAGAGCAATTAAGAAAATGAGCTCAGAACAATTTGATAGTCTTGGGGTGACCGAACAAGGAGACAATATTTTGCACCTGTATTTAGGTAGCGTACAGGGTAATTATGACGTGAGTGGATCTCTATTGATGACTCTGATTCGAAAGAATGTAAAATTATTGCATGTTGAAAACGAAGAGAAGGAAACTCCTTTGATGCTTATCCATAGAGTGATTTCAGATTCTTATTTGAAAGCTTGTATAGCAAATGAGTTTCTCCAATGAATGAATTCTTAGAATTAAATGTCTCTGATGAAATTTGTAGTCCAGACACCATTAGTAATGTTTGTAGCAGCACTGAGAAACTGTGGGAGGTAAATCGAACAATGTCACACCTGTTGCCAATTCAAACGGTATGAATTTAAAATCCACTTGAATATGGCCTGTACAATGAGTGTCTGTCATACGAAAAATATTGTCCTTCGGTCAATAAAATACCCTTAGGTTCAGCATTTCTGCACGAATAATAATACATGACCAATAAATCTCTCTTGTCATATTGGACACCATCAATTTCGATAACAACCTTCATTGTTTCTTTTGGTTCAGACCTGCTGATAAACGTGGCCTGACCAGTAGAGATCGGCTTGAATTGAAATTTTCCACTCATTCCTAAAAGGAGAGATTTCTCTTTTTTAGAAATATTGTTCGAAGTTTCAAGCGTAAACTTCTGGATTAATGGCAAGATAGTCGATGGCAATAAGTTCTTCTGGAAGAATGGATTGGAAGGTCGTTCGCCCTTACATAATTTCGTATAACAATCAGATAGAATTTGCGAATTGAGTTCTCGAGTCTTGGAATCAACACATGAGCCAATTTTCAATAAATTTCCATAATATATTAAAATTGATCGTAAATTTTCCAAATAGAGTAGATGCTCCATATTCTGGCTTGTTAGAAACTGTGCAAGCAACAGAGAGTCTGATTCCATTGGTGGTGTCATTAAACAACATAATTCGAATTGGAAACTTACCTTTCAAGAAACTGGAGAAAGGACATGCTGAAAATAAATTCTGGATTGTTGACAGTGCAAATATAAAGAGGAAAATCTCCTTCACAACCTCCACTGCTTTGCTCATATTCTCGAACTTCTGGAGTTTCACAGCAACATAAAACTTTGGTTCTACACAAATAAAAACTGGGTTTTCGTCCTCAAATTCCCTACACCACTCATACAATAACGTATCCTCATAATCGTTCTCTCTTTCTTCAATAACTTTCCATTCGCTTACAAGATTTGGTCGGTCTGTAAAACTCATTACTTGATCCAATTTAGAGAAAACATGTCCATAAGTTGAAGTAGTGTTTTCAATACACGCTGTCAATGATTTTTCACTCTCTTCACTCTGCCATAAATCTAATTGCAGCTCGTACTTGTCACTCCAAGTTATTCCAGTCAATACTTTGATACAATTTGGTAGATCAGATTGCTTTTGAACCACACGAGGCATTGCCGCTCCTAATTTGTTCGTCAAGATATTTCTTATACGATCATTAAAAGGACAATCAATATAGCTCATCGATTCAATATCAAAAGTCAATTGTTCTATAAAATCACAACCACACACATATAGACTGTCCATGTAACCACGCTCATTCTGTCCAAGATGGTTAGTTGGACTTGCAACAGTAGATTTTGGAATAAAGCAACACAATTTCCCCTCGCTCTCCTCAAAATAATCTGGATATACTGTCACCAACAATTCCATGTTATGCACATTGAAGATATCAATACAACCATCCGACAGGTTCGTAATGAACAATAAATCTCGACATTGTGCAACTGCACTGTTTTGTAAACTCACTAATTGCATGCAACATTGATTATGTGATTTGTAATAGCCGTCTGGTAACCTGTCAATTTTAAATGCAATCTCAACAGTGTCAAAATTTGATGTTATCAATTCTTGAATGTTGACATTGGAAAAATCTATCTTGAGTAACATGTTGTGATAGCTCACTAAGAGCGTCTCCTTCTCATCCATCATGCACAACAATCAAGGGGGATCAAGGTTGATGGTTAAGAGATCAATACTACGAAACTGTATCCCTTTGTGGATATCACGCATGATAATGGTTGCATAATCAGAAGAAGCAACGAACAGGCAATTGAGCCGGTGAGATATGGCTAGCTCTGCAGCTTTGCTACTCATGCTTTGTATCCATGACGGAACATCACAAGGCCATGGTCCCCTCAGTGGAATTTTTACAAGTTTTTGTTGTTTTTCATCTGTAGTGAAAATGATGAATTGCTTGCAATCAGAAGATTCAGCATTGGTCTTGTCTTCTTTACGAATATCAAGATTATGAATGCAAAATCGAACCGGCGCATAGGGTCTCGTTGAAATTTCAAGTTTCAATTCAAAACAACTATTAAACGCAAGAAAGCGTTTGTTCTCAACATCTGAAACAAGTAACACCTGTTCATGATCATAATGAAGGAGATGAATAGCCTTCATGTCCTTAATATTCGAGTATGCTAAGATGGTATTATTTCGGCTTGCATCCTTGCTTGCGATTGTACGGACGGCTTCATCCGAGCTTACAATATCGAGTTGTAATAATGGTTTTCTTCTCATCTTTTGTTTGAGTAATTCAAATATGGAATGACCATTTGGAAAATTCATTTCATGATCAATCATTGTAACCATCACTGGATGATCATCTTCGTCATGATTCAAAGTAATATTTGTGAATTTCATCTTTTTAGTGGCCATTGATTGCATGTCTTGCTGTTCCGATGATGAAAGGCTTTGTGGGGATTCATTGGATTTTTTTGGAGGTTCGGCTTCAAAAAGGGTTCTTTTCATTTTTTTTGCAAAAAACGAGCAAAGTTTACTGGACTATTCGCTCCATTCAAAGTTTTGAAATTTCAAACTTGCTTGTGACCTTTGATTCTGCTTCTGAAGCGAATAAATGTTGCAAGTTCAAAAGCATTACTTGTAACAGGTCAATTTGTTATTATGTGCCTCAAATACAAACAACACTCCATTTGAAATTGCAAAATATGAATATTGAATGTTTTCCAGTGCTTGTTGGGCAAGGATGTTGAAATCTCTGGAAGCAAAATAAATCTTATCAAATCCACGCAATAAATAACCACTTGAAATAGGATCCCAAATCGTGGGTCCAATCAAATACACATCAAGTTGGATGGTTTTCACAAGTTGCAAATTTCGTGAGAAAATCTTGAGAATAGGAACGTCGTTCGTTCCAACACAATAAGCAAGTAAACAATCGTTCCTGTCCAAAGACAAATATGTGAACTGTTTGACTGAGCTTGCAAATTGCTTTCTACAACCATCTCCAATCTTTTCCAGAACTTGACCACTATCACAGCAAATCACATAAATTTGTTGAGAATTTGTGTCGCCTAAAAAGATAATTCCTCTACTATCAATGACAGGAGTAAGAAAGTGTGGAGTTACATCACTCTCATTGTTTAGTAATGTGCTCCATTTCACAGATCCATCACTCAAGCTCATTTTGATTAGGCGTTTTCTGTATTCGTTAACTCCCAGATTCGTTAATAGACATGAATGATCTTTTTCGCAATATGTAACTCCAAAACTGTATGTACAGACAAACTGATCAAAAGGATATTTAAACGTTTTGATCAACTCATAATTATTATTGCTCATATCATGAATATCAATTTGAGAAGCAAGGAAACGGATAAATTCATTCCGACACGCAAGAATTCCAATGCCCACTTTGCTCATATATTGTTTTGGATCAGTAATATTAAAAGTATGGGAACAGATTTCAGTAAATGAAAAGCCTTTTGGATTCATCTCATCACAGTGGTCAGAATGTTGTAAAGCCATTTTTTTTAAACGGATTGACTTCTTGTAACCTCGTTACAAACATTAATACGTGCCACTTCAAATTAATTTCTAGGGCAAGTTTTTTAAAACCGTTTGACCAGGTGTATTTTGAAGAGCGAATAACACATTTGAGAAGAACAGAAAAGCAAGCTACATGCATTAAAATTCACAATTTGTTCTCACATTTTCACCCAACGAACATGACTAATCGACAAATTTGAAACTCTCTCCAAGTTCATCACAACACAAAAAAAAGCATTGATTTCAAAATGTCCAAGAAATCATCGTCCTCTCCTGAAGCACCAATTATTTTGTATTCGGATCAGTTCGTCCACATTATCAATAATGAGAATGGTAGTGCCGAGTTGGTGGAAGGACCCACTCGATTCTATCTTCCTGCCAATAAGAGCATTGATAAGTCGGGCGTTCAAACAAAGATCAGTAGGTATTCATTTTGATCGCGATGAAGTTCAACTAATTTTGATCTCTCATTGGATATCATCGATTTTCATACATGATCAACCCAGTCGTGAGAGAACGACAATACGCAGTTATTCTCAACCCTTTTAATCCAACGACTAGAACCACCCATCATGGCCAAAAAGATATTCGTATTGGACCTGCAACTTTCTCTTTATTCCCTGGTGAAGTGTTGATGGATGGCTATGTAAAGGATGCCGACATTCTCAATAAGAATGAATACATTATCCTTCAAGCCTTAAAGGATCATGAGATTGAGGTTCCATCCAGCTTGGATGCGAGTCAAATGATCCGACAAACTTTTAAGGCTGGAGAGATGAGACGTCTTATTGGTCCAGCTATCTATTATGCCAATACCAATGAAGAAAGAGTCGGTGGAGTCCAAACAGCCATCAATATTGGAGAGAATGAAGCCATTTATGTTCGCAACACGTTGACTTCCGAGTTGAAGACAGTGAAAGGACCACTCTCCTACTATTTGGAAGTGAATGAAGAGTTGTATTATAAGAAGCTCACCAATAAGGAATATGACGCTTTGGAATTGCCCTATACCCCTTCTTACAATGCCTATCATATTCAAATTCAAAAGAATGAAGTGGTGTGCATCATTGATTACAAGGCAGGTATCGAAAGATTCTACGAAGGTCCTAAATCGATGATTCTTGATTGTTCGGAAGGTCTAAGAACTCTATCGATTTCTGGTGGATGTCCAAAAGTTGAAAACGCCGTCACAATTGCACTGATTAATAAGGGACCTGACTTTATGACCGATCGATTCCAAGTTCGTACAAAAGACAATGCAGTCTTAGATATGGAACTGACCTACAAGTGGCAATTTATTACTTCAGAAAAACCATCGAATGAGGAATATGAAAAGTTGTTTTCTGGTGACTTTGTTGGGTATTCATGCCAATCGTTGCGATCTCGTATTAGAGAGCTCGCATCAAGTCATGACTTTGAATCCTTCCACAAGGGCGCCTCTGATATTTTACGTAAAAACTTGTTCAAGGACTATGAAATCAAGTTTGATGATGGTTCAAGCACTAACATTCATGGAAGATTGTTCAGAGAATTCTCATTCCTTGTGTATGCGGTAGATGTGAAAGAGTTGAGACCCGTAGATCCAGAAATTGCTCAACTCTTGGACAACTCCATTAAGAGCTCAATGAATATCATGTGCTCCAAGTTGCAAGAGAATGCTAAAACTTTGGCAGAGAAGGAACAAATTCAATCCGAAATTGAGTTTGCCCGTCTACGTAAGGACCTCATCCAAATCAAAAACAGCAATACCATGAAAGAAAAGATTGAACAAGCTAAAATTGAAGGCAAAGCGCAAGTTGAGAGAGAAAAGGCAGAACACGACAGTGTAGCCTTGCTCAAAAAGGCCAAATATGAATTGGAATTGGCTCAAATCAAACAAACCATGGCATTGCTTGAAGGTGAGAAGGGAGACATGTATATTGAGTATGTGAAATTGATTGGAGCCACCAAGAATGTGAAAAGAGCAACCATTCTCCCTCAGAATACTCAACTCAAGCTCAACGTAACCCAATATTAGGAGGTTTGAAGTCACTTTGAACATCATTTCATGGAATTGGTTGCTTTGGTCCACTCTTGTAAAACCTTCTTCGGTTTCTCTCAAGACCCTTCTTAATCCCACAACGTTTAGCCATAAATAAAGCAAGGCGGTTTAAAAAATTGGTTCACCTGAGGAAATTTCGAGATGCAATAGGAATACTTTGTCTTTTGATACTGATCTCCAATTGTTTTGAGTTCAGGGAGGGTGAGCCAAAGCGTAGGCAACCAGCCTATACCCAACCATTCTTGGCGACGTTGACGAACTCAAGTGTCATCACGAAAATAAACATCTCCAACCAAAAAAAATGCCTACAGCAAACAAAACGTTCTGGCAGAAGCTGAGTGATCAACACAACCACAATGCTCCCGATATTCGTTCAACTGCTTCAATAATGCCGTCAGTAAAGAAAAGAGTTTATTTTGAAGATCAACCGTTCATGGTTGAAAATATTACACCAGCTACTAATGTTAGTTATGAAGAGTGCTATTCCGAACTGAAATACGTTTGCAGAGGTATAAATCGGAACAATTATTCTAAATTATTAACAGGAAAACAAATTTATAATTGCGATTATGACATAATTGGCGTTATTCGAGACGAACTCACCTTAGAATCAGCATGTTGTTCAAAATATTGTAGTATTTTTCAAAATCAGTGTCGTCAATGTAGTGAATTGGAAAAACACCTAGTTTCAATCATGGAAAATAGGCATGATATATTTGAAATGCTATTGAAAGGAATTTTACCACAACCCAAGCAATTAATATCATTTCCATTATTGATGTATGAGTTATTGTGTAAACTTGTGCCATTTATACCAGTCAGCCAAGATGAACACAAACTTTTAACAGTGTTTAGAAAAGCTCAAACTTCATACAATGAAGCATTGTCGACACAATACAACAACAAACAAATTACGAACAATGAACACCGTGATACACAAGCTTTGAAGGTTCCAAGGTCAAGCTTTACTCCATTCTTAGAGACATTTTTTGGATCCTTTATATTCAATCAGTTGCAAAATTATGCAAAGAATCCATTTCATCACAAATATTCAGAGGTTGAAAGAAGATATTGGGTTGTGATGAAATATTATTGTGGAAAACAATTTTTCATCAGAATGGGAGGAGAGCGCAATCAAAATATTGAACGGAATAATTTTAATCATTTAAAATATAATCTAATTATACCAAGTTGGAATACTGTTAAACAATGGACACCTGCTGGTTGTTATGGTATGATTCCCGACATCACACTTACCCTAAAGAACATGTTACTGCCTGACTCTTGTAAAGATACATGTATCTCGTTTGATGGAATGAAAGTGTTTAAACATTTTGATGTTTTGGGAGATCAAATTGTTGGAAGTGAAAAATATTGTTACACTGTTGAAGACGTGAAACAATTTGGTGTTAAACATCTAATAGACCAAATGATTTTATTTTCTATTAATGCCATCGATAATTCATGGCATTTACCGCTGGGTTGGTTTGGAGTTAGTTCTGAAACAGACGTACTTGAATTTGTCACTAGCAAAATACTTTATTTCAAAGAGTTGCTCCAAGAATCTGTAACAATTGTGTGTGGATGTTCTGATGCAGAAATTGATGCACATGCTGTGCAAACAATTGTTAGAAAAAAACACAAAGACTTCATTTTCGTCAATGATTACGTTCACAATTTCAAAAATCAACGAAATGTATTATTTAATGGAACAATATTGCACGAGAAAATCTCAATGCAGACCATAATTTATTACATGATACAACATAGGACATTGTATCGATTACTCGACAGAGAAGAAGTTGATCCTACGGATATTATGAATTTGAAATCATGTCTAAATTTAACAGAACGACCTGTATTGCAAGAATTACGTAAAATTGGCACTATAGAGGCAAATAGTGTTGCTGGTTACCTTGAATTAATTCGTGATATTTATGACTGCATTAATGATAACAGTCCGGATATAATTGATATTTTGAGTGAAAGCAAAACAATTTTCGAAAAATTACCCAATTATCCCAAAAAAACGAAGAAAATATGTGTTCACACACTTGAAGGATTTCTTGCATTAGCGTCTCGGTTTCCAAATTTCAAACCCAGTTGCATTACAACAAATTATGAAGAGCTACTCTTTTCAATAATTCGAGGAATGTTTCCCAAGCCAACAACCAAACAATTTTGCCAAAGCGCACTATTTTCATTCTATATATTTTTAATATTACATTCCACTGACGATGTTCGTGGGTTCTCACTCCCAGATATTCCATTAACTGATCATTATTTTGGTATGAAATTGGTTATCAAGATTTTACCAACTCTTCCTGGTCGAATTGTACTTGATAGAAATGTCAAGAAAAAAACTTGCAAAGAATTACAAATTATTAATCAAAACGTAGCCACTTACTCAAGAAAAACTACGTTGAGGGCTGAAGTGTGTGCTCCTAAATGTATATATTTATGCTGCCCTGTTTCTGGATGTAAAAAACAAAAACCATATATTATCAAAGGGTCTTTTACAAATCATTTGAAAGCTAAACATCAATTTTCAGACGAAGAAGCAGAAGCAACAGTTGCTCAATTAGAATGTTTGCAATTTTCTGCTCAATTAGAAAAAGATGTTGCTTTTAGGAAACAAAGTTGCAAAAACAATGAGAATATTATTGTACAACACAAACCACCTTACCTGATTTCAAAATTCAAAAACAGGTTGACTATTCAATATAATTTTGCACCTCTTAAATCAATTCCCACGCCTCACAGTATCAATCAAGAGACAAGACGACCATTGAACTTCTTTGTGCTAGATTTAGAAACAACAGGATTTTCTCCAAAATGCAACTCCATAATTCAATTTGCAATGTTATCATTATTTAGTAATGAATTACATTCCATATTTGTATCCCCTAGTGGTGTGTGGAGTTCTATTGCATTACAAATGCACGAAACTAAATTTCAGATTTTGGATGAAAGTGAAACATTGCAAAACATGATTCCTAAAATTTGTAATTATTTGACTAGGAATGACACTGCTGATGTGATGTTGTTGGTTCATTCAACTGGTTTGGACAAGGCTTTCTTTAGTGCTGCAATTGCACCACTTAAACTCCGATCAACAATTTACTATTGTTCTACTATGCAAAAAAACTTGCTTGGAAAAAAGGGATTAGAAAACCACTTTAGAGAAAAAGTATGTGGCTCTCTTCCCGGAATAGCACATAATGCCGTTGTGGATGTGCTTATGTTGTATGATTTGCTGTTGTCGAAGTTTGGGAACGATCAAGAAATTGTGAAGGCCATCGGAAAAGCAGAATGTACAACAATAGACGACTAGGAATTCCACTGATGGTTTGTTCAGTTCGATGAATTGTTTTCTCTGTTTCCTACTCTGGTTTGCGTGTTGTTTTGTTGAAGTGAAGAAACTTGCTGATGTGGTTGTGTTGATCACTCAGCTTCTGCCAGAACGTTTTGTTTGCTGTAGGCATTTTTTTTGGTTGGAGATGTTTATTTTCGTGATGACACTTGAGTTCGTCAACGTCGCCAAGAATGGTTGGGTATAGGCTGGTTGCCTACGAAGCTTTTTCTATCTGGCTCACCCTCCCTGCAAAAGCTTTGAGGGTAAATGTGAAGGAGGATTCGCAGTCATGGGAGTTTTCGCGAAATGAAAATTCACAACTTGAAGTGAGATTGATTTTTAATCACGCAGCGACGTGTTGTCGAGCAACGTCTCTTGGAAATATCATAATCTCCTCGTGACCTCTTTTTGAATGGAACACAATTGTGTATGGCCAGAATTGATGCTGTTTAAAACATGGTGTTAAATTTATCACTTACAGTTCCTGCTGCGCTCGCTTGATATCAATTTATTTCAATGACAAAAGCACTCCTCTTCAAACAAAAGTTGTTTTCTTGTCTAAAGACTTGCCCAACAAGAGAGCACAATCAATGAAGCAGCAAAGGACCAATCCAAAAAAAACCAATCATACCCTATCGCTTGAATCCACAAGCGTTGAAGCCATACCGCAAACACCCTCCATCAGGAGCAAGAGCTTTTTTCTTCATTGGCCAACTGTTCATAATACAGTGTAGTGTATTTGTTCTTGAGAGTTGTTGTACAAACTTTCATTGAAGAGAAGAGAGGATTCATATTCTGTTCCTTTCAGAAACACATTGCCACTTCGGTACAGTGCAAACGAACAACGATCATTGATAATCCTGCTGCAGCTCCCGTTCTGCTCATCATTGCAGCCATCCAAGACACCGTTCAGCCCCGAAAGCAAACACAGCCAGTCTGTCTGAACACTCTTTGCTCTCCTCCTCCTCAAAACATTCTCTTGTTTTGTTTGTGAGTCTTCTTCCTCAGCGAGCGCGCAAGTCGCTGGACCACACACAGCTTGGTTTCAAACTTCAGCATCGTCCATAGATCGTAAAAAAAAGCCATCACCAGGCTTGCTTGTAAAGCGCCACATTGCTCCCATCTCTGGTCTCTCAACCATTTCCAACTGCTGCTTCTCCGAGAGCGTGTGTGTTTCATTCATTCACTACCCACCACATTGATTGAACCTATTGTATTGCAAACTCAAGTTCCATCCTCCCAAAAACATACTTGCACCATCCAGTGATGGACTTCTTTAAGAACGCCCTCGACCTGCTCAAGCGGGACGACAAGTTGTTATTTGCAACTCGGCAGAACGGATCCTTCTCACCGACATCCTCCCATAAGAGCTCCTCTCCAGGAGTGATGAGTACTGGGAGTGATAGAGGAGGAATAGTGGTAGAATCCTCCTCCACCTCACTACAACAGCAACCTCCTGTGTTGCAAACAACAACCAATGCTCCCACGGCCAGCAATACGACCCTCCACAATAATAATAATGGAAGTGTCAATCATCAGAACGGTACGAACCCACTCTCGTCAACAACAGCAACAACAACACTGATAACACAACCACAAACACCAACCAATGGTAAAGGTGGTGGCGTTATTGGAAATAACAACATGTCTCCTCCACAAAGCAATGTCGTTGGAACAACAACAACAACCAATGGCTCTACCAACGCTATTCACACAGTCCACTCCTCAACGAACCTCTCCAATGGGTCAAATCCCAGTTCTCCTCTTTACTACTGTCCAAATAATAGTGAGTATGAATTACTCAAATTGCTAGAAAAACAGCGTCAATGTAAGTATTATTGAGATTGATCAACGAACATCCTTATCGATAACTAACACCTTATTTGGCAATCTACTTGCTTTGTCAAACGTGCTATATGCATACAAATTCAATCAATAACAGTGCGCAAAAAGAGACCACCACAACAGCAACAACAGCCAATGGCTTCTTCCATTCTTCCTCCCACCACAAATATGTCTGTGTCTAGTTCTACTCCTTTGCCAACTGTCAGCCTGAACGCTCCAACAAATATTAAGCCAGTGTCTGCTGCCAATCCTTCCGTTAAAAGAAAGATTGGAGGTGGAGGTATGATTCAATCTGTCTCCATGACAAGTAATCCACCAGGAATACCAGCAACAAAACCTCCTCCAAAGAAGATTAAAACCACGGACACACGTTGAGAACAGTTTTGCAGTGAGCGACATGGCTGTCAAGTGAGTCTGGTAGGTGAAAGGTGTATCAATCCAGCAAATGATTCGAGTTGGTTGTGAAAGTGTTCGAGCAAGAATGGATTATTCCTGTTAGATAACAGGATGGAAGATAATTCAAATTGTTGGCGTTTGAACACAGATGTTGGCAAAATGTACGTCTCTTTTTAAAACTGTTTTTATTGAGGCATCCAACAGGCTCGGTCCGAGTTGATAAGGATGATGAAATAAGAGGGTAGATGACCATAAAAGAATAAATCCTCGGAATCGTTCAACATCTCGTGTACTTCCTTTTGTTGTCAATCAAAGAAAGTGGAAAATAGATACACCACACAGTATGAAATGCATGACGTTTAATTTTCAAGTCTTGTCACAACACTCTGTCACTCAATATCTGCGCTTAAATTCGTTCGAGAAAATATTACAAGTTTCGTCATCAAAATTTGTAAATCTCACTTCCATTCGGTCTACTGGAATTTTATCCTTATAATCCTTAAAGAATTGTTCTACTGTGTTAAACAACACTTTGGCACATCGATCTTTTGGATATCCAAAAATTCCACTCGAAATTGCAGGAATACTTAACGAGTTCAATCCCTTTTCAAGTGCTTTGGTCAAGCAAGCTTCCACACACATACTCAATTCAAAATCTTCTTGTTCAGTTCCGACAGGAGTTGATTTGCTCTTAAAACTTGACCAAATTGGGCCCACAGCATGGAAAACTATTTTACAAGGTAAATCACCGTTCGAGGTTTCAACCACTTCTCCATTCTCTAATTCTCTTCCTAACTGTTTGATGATATTGTTTGATTCAATTTGAATGGATTTACCTCCATTCTTGACAATGGCTCCGGCAAGGCCTGAAATGTGTTGAAGACGGCAGTTGGCAGCATTGACAATGGCATCAACCTTCTCCATGGTTAAATCTCCTTTACGGACCTGGAGAATGAATTGTTTCCCTTGATCGGATTTGAAAATGTGTTCCGATAACAAGACGGATTCTTTTCCGACAGCGTTCCAAGATGATCTCATGATGGTATTTCTAATGTGTTGGTAAATTGTAATCTGATCGGTCTCGATTTTGAGCTATTTTTTTATGTTATTTTTAAAATTAGGAACATGAACTTGAAGTCAAAATTGAATTTACAGAAATCCATAAAAATTTGCAACCTTCACCATGAGAAGGACAAATCTGAAAAGAAGGACGTCGAAGATTTGAGGTTTGAAACAAAGTCTTCCATATGGGTGGACCTGAGATTCATAATGAAGAAAGTATCGGAATCAGGGGAGCAAAATATCTTCTTTTTGGAAACGTTGTACTTGTCGAATAATATCAGCTTTGGCCGTCCCATAGACAATGCCTTTACAAATGATGACGAATTGTTGACAACTTCTTTCACCTCGGCAAAGAACAAGGTGTCATTGGAGGTTTGGAAAATTAGGCCCTTCATTGTGGCAAAGGCCTTCTTAATGTGAATGTTATTCGTTGTGAAATATTCTACCTCAAAGAACCCGTGCTCCTTATTTTCTCCAACTGATGTATGTGCTGGCTTGATGGTGGTAAAGGCCTTTCCATTTTGTGTGACAATGCAAGAAAAATTGGTGCCACAACATATCGAGCTAATCTTGAAAGCATTGTAATTAAATTCCTTCGTCGTAATTTTCATAATATCCATAATATATACATATGATTTTGGTTTTCCTTGTTGTTGATGGGAATTTTTACCACACGAATATAAAAACCCTTTCTTGGTGAGAAATAAGGAAAACTGGGTACCAGCTCGAACGTCTACCACTTCATCGGTAGTGGAGCTTTGAAC